GACGAAACCTCTTTGTTCACCAGAGTACCAATGTTTCCCAGAGTTTATGATGAGACCGATATCAACAAACCAGCTCTACGCAAGATCGGCCTCGAAGTGGTAGACCTCGATTACATCCGGATAGGTACATCCGGGTACTTCATTATCGGAATCGAACTGCTCCAAAGCAACTGCAACTGCGTTTACAGAAGCTGGACTTCGAGGCAGAAGTCCCTATTTTGGCCGAGTACATCGACGTCGACGGGTCCAGTGGTGCAATAACGTTCAATTCTTGAATCTACTAAACTGGCGACGTGTATGGTTCAGAGACTAATCCCGCTTTCTGCTTGAGCAGTGACGTGCACGTGTTTATCGACGTCAAAAAGTTTTGCCCCGAATTGTGTCGCCCAGGTTGACCGATATGGTGGTGTGAGTGTCATGATGTGGGAGACCATGATGTACAGAGACGAAATCCTAAGGATTCACGTGGTTCCGTTCAGTGACTGCCAGAGTGAATTGTGCCACTATTCAGGATCTTTAGAATGAGAATATTACCGATCTCAACCCCATTTGCGGGATGACCACGGATGACGCATACGTGATCAACTGTAGCAGGCATTGCAATGTGAATGGGACAGAATTCCGAAAGGTGGTGAAATTATTCAGTTCATGCCGAGATATTGAAGGCAACGCCCAGCCTGTGCCGTAACGACTTGACCTGGGGTTCTAACGATTTGATTGGATAACCGATGACCTCTCAATTAGGTCACGTTGTGACGGAACTACTTTCTCATTCATAACAAACACGTGGGAACGAACGCCTTCACATACTGAACTTTTTATAAGCTATACGTGTTAACAGACATTTGATCTTTTATACTGTAAAATTTCGCTGCAACTGATCTAGAATTACATGCGTTATCTCACTTTAAAGTTAGCAGATTAAATTCGCGAAAATACACCTACGCGTTTCTTTTGGGAAGAGTATATGTTGTATTTCTGGTATAAACCGCTTATCAGAGTCTACAAAAATTTCTACTGGTATTAGGAGATAGGCTAGTACTACTCTGTAAACTAATACCAAACTCTGAGTCAAAACGGACACAACCGTGGCTCATAGAAGTATACACACGCTTCCAAACAGATAACAATTATTCTGGGATCATCTTATCGTTATCTATAAAGCTTGCATGTTGTTCTGCAGTATTTCCTTTGTATTGTGACTGGTATCAAGACAAGTAAGAACACTTTATTTCTTTCCATATAAAGGGGCGGCAGGGTAGCCGAGTGGTAAAAGCGTTGGCCTCGTCACGCCGAAGACCCGGTTCTATTCCTCACACAGGCACAATGTGTGAAGCCCATTTATGGTGTCCCCTGCCCTGGGATTGCTGAATATTGCTAAAAGCGGCGTAAAACCCACTCAACTCTTTGCATATAACTATAGTTTTTCTGGAATGGTTGGTGGGTATACTCAAATCCAGCTCTTATTCTGGCATGGTTACACATCTCCTTGAACGTTTACAACCCAACTGTTTAATCGAATATTTCTGTCGTGATCTTGTATGGGCTTCACACATTGTACACATATGTGGGAATTGAACCCGGTCTTCGGCGCGATGAGCGAATACTTAACCACTAGGCTACCCCACCGTGCCGTGTGTTTTTACACGTGTATGCGGACTTGCACATGCCTTTTCATCACACTGTCCAGCATTTGTATACCCACTGAGGTCTTGTTCTCGACGTTTAGTTGTGACAGAGACACTGTTTGTGTAGAATTAGACGTCTACACATATAGACATACGCCGCCAAACACGGATATCACATAATAATGTCTGTATCAGACAAAACTGCGGTTGGATATTACGAGGAACGTCCGACTAGGACTCACCGTGAGTGAGTGAGTGAGTGAGTTTAGTTTTACGCCACCTTTACCACTAGTCCAGTAATATCACGGCGGGGACACGAGAAATGGTTTCACACTTTATACCTGTGGGGACTCGAACCCGGGTCCTCGTCGCCATATAGCTGTGAATCTTGCTCAGTGCTGCGTTAAACAACCAACAAACACGAAGCCAGCGAAACCACGTGATCTGTTTTCACGTTTCAGTGCATGAAGATTCAGAGCGACAAAATCTGACCAAAGAACTGCAACTTTCAAAGGAGTCGAGCAATATTCTGTGAGCTCCCACCTTCTGTGTCTACATTTCAGAACTGTTTTGGTACAATCGACCATGTTCTTTCCACAAAGATTTCCAAAAGAGTCCTACAACCCTTCTCGGAAGTTACTTAATCATTGCTTCGGCAAAGCTATCAAAGTTTGTTTAGACGTAATGACGGCATTTCCAAGTTTGACGCAATGACACACATTGATGTCCGCTGCAGCTTACACGACATGTCTGTATGTCTTGTGAAGAGGATTTCCCTCTGCGTGTGTTTTGTCGGGTCCCATTGATGTGCAGGATACGCTTACCTTTCTCTAACGCATAGTATTGATCCACTTATAATGTAGTTGGAACCCTATACGTACCCTTGGTGATGTAGTTGGAACCCTATACGTACTTATGATGTAGTTGGAACCCTATACGTACTTATGATATAGTTGGAACCCTATACGTACTTATGATGTAGTTGGAACCCTATACCTACCTATGATGTAGTTGGAACCCTATACGTACTTATGATATAGTTGGAACCCTATACGTACTTATGATGTAGTTGGGACCCTATACGTACTTATGATGTAGTTGGGACCCTATACGTACTTATGATATAGTTGGAGCCCTATACGTACTTATGATATAGTTGGAGCCCTATACGTACATATATATGATGTAGTTTGGACCCTATAAGTACTTATGATATAGTTGGAACCCTATACGTACTTATGATATAGTTGGAACCCTATACGTACCTATGATGTAGTTGGAACCCTATACGTACTTATGATATAGTTGGAACCCTATACGTACTTATGATGTAGTTGGAACCCCATACCTACCTATGATGTAGTTAGAACCCTATACGTACTTTTATGATATAGTTGGAGCCCTATACGTACTTATGATGTAGTTGGGACCCTATACGTACTAATGATGTAGTTGGGACCCTATACGTACTTATGATATAGTTGGAACCCTATACGTACTTATGATATATAGTTGGAGCCCTATACGTGCCCTTATGATGTAGTTTGGACCCTATACGGCACTTATGATGTAGTTGGAACCCTATACATACTTTATATGATATAGTTGGAGCCCTATACGTACTTATGATGTAGTTGGGACCCTATACGTACTTATGATGTAGTTGGGACCCTATACGTACTTTTATGATATAGTTGGAACCCTATACGCGTACTTATGATATAGTTGGAGCCCTATACGTACTTATGATGTAGTTGGGACCCTATACGTACTTATGATGTAGTTGGAACCCTATACGCACTTTATGATATAGTTGGAACCCTATACGTACTTATGATATAGTTGGAACCCTATACGTACTTATGATGTAGTTGGAACCCTATACGTACTAATGATGTAGTTGGAACCCTATACGTACTTATGATGTAGTTGGAACCCTATACGTACTTATGATATAGTTGGAACACTATACGTACTTATGATATAGTTGGAGCCCTATACGTACTTATGATGTAGTTGGGACCCTATACGTACTAATGATGTAGTTGGGACCCTATACGTACTTGCTATGATATAGTTGGAACCCTATACGTACTTATGATATAGTTGGAGCCCTATACGTACTTATGATGATGTAGTTTGGACCCTATACGTACTTATGATGTAGTTGGAACCCTATACGTACTTATGATATATAGTTGGAGCCCTATACGTACTTATGATGTAGTTGGGACCCTATACGTACTTATGATGTAGTTGGGACCCTATACGTACTTATGATATAGTTGGAACCCTATACGTACTTATGATATATAGTTGGAGCCCTATACGTACTTATGATGTAGTTGGGACCCTATACGTACTTTATGATGTAGTTGGAACCCTATACCTACTTATGATGATATAGTTGGAACCCTATACGTACTTATGATATAGTTGGAACCCTATACGTACTTTATGATGTAGTTGGGAACCCTATACGTACTTATGATGTAGTTGGAACCCTATACGTACTTTTATGATGTATAGTTGGAACCCCTATACGTACTTATGATATAGTTGGAACCCTATACGCACTTATGATATAGTTGGAACACTATACGTACTTATGATGTAGTTGGAACCCTATACGTACTTAGGATAATAATATAGTTGGAACCCTATACCTACTTATGATGTAGTTGGAACACTATACGTACTTATGATATAGTTGGAACCGTATTTTGGCCCTTTCCTTCAAGTAGATTGCTTATGATAAAGGAGAAGTTCTTCTCGTTTTTATCAGCTTATGCTTTGATAAGCCTTATAAGAGTTTAAGCAAAATGAAATGTACAGCACGTTTGCAGCAAAATCAAAATCACAACAACTTTGTACCCAAGTTATTATGTAGCGGACACAGACGAGGGGTTCCGAATGGAAATGTTCGGTTTCTGATTGCATGCCGTTGACCCGTAACCACGTCTCGGCTGAGTGAGTTCCGACCTTTGTTCGGTTTTGACTTGCATCAGACGTCTCCCTTTGGCCGAGGAGTTCCGAATGGACGTGTTCGGTTTTGACTGCATCAGACGTGCACAACTTGGGGACCCATAACCGACATCTCTGTCGAGGAGTTCCGAATGGACGTGTTCGGTTTTGAGTGCATCAGACGTGAACAACTTGGAGACCCGTAACCGACATCTCTGTCGAGGAGTTCAGAATGGACGTGTTCGGTTTCCGACTGTATCAGACGTGCAGACGTGGGCCATCACTGACGTCTCAACACTCCACTCATGCCAGTTCTTATCAGCATATACTTTTTCATGACGTCATGTTTTTGCCACGTGCACTTACATTATCTATATAGCACCTGCAAAGTCACCTGGATTCCCAGTCTGTTAACCACACTCCCAGGTAAGACAACCCTCCTTGAATGTGTATGCACCGTTATATGTACAGGAAATTGTGTAATATTACAATTTAATTTATTATCAAACACAATTGTATTACATCGTTTCTGGTAAGATTCAGTAGAAGTTGATGACATTATGTACTAGCAATAATTAGTTGTCAGGAATGTACTGCTATCTAATGTAACTGGTTGTGTGACAGTTACTATATATGAATGCTTTTGAAGTCAAGAGTGATCTTAAATCTTCTAGAAAAGCTACAGACTAATCCAGCATTCCATAAAATCTTCCAGAATGTTTTTGAGACTGTAGGAGTGTTTCTCTCATCTCGTCACATCATAATCAGTTGTTATGGAAAGGTCATTGTTTTACCGACCTGTGAAGATCTGGGTTAGAATGAATCTTCAGTAACCCATGCTTGTCGTAGGAGGATCGGGTGGTAAGGCTCGCTCGCTTGATTGACACATGTCATCGGTTCCCATTTGCGCAGATCGATGTTCTTGCTGTTGATCACTGGATTGTCTGGTCCAGACTAGATTATTTACAGACCGCCGCCATTTAGCTGGAACATTGCTGAGTGCGGCGTAAAACTAAACTCACTCACTCATTGTTTCACCCAGGATATCCAGGGAAGGCCATTGTTTCACCCAGGATATCCAGGGAAGGTCATTGTTTCACCCAGGATATCCAGGGAAGGTCATTGTTTCACCCAGGATATCCAGGGAAGGTCATTGTTTTACCCAGGATATCCAGGGAAGGTCATTGTTTCACCCAGGATATCCAGGGAAGGTCATTGTTTTACCCAGGATATCCAGGGAAGGTCATTGTTTCACCCAGGATATCCAGGGAAGGTAATTGTTTTACCCAATATATCCAGGGAAGGTCATTGTTTCACCCAGGATATCCAGGGAAGGTCATTGTTTTACCCAGGATATCCAGGGAAGGTCATTGTTTTACCCAATATATTCAGGGAAGGTCATCGGTTTACCCAGGATATCCAGGGAAGGTCATCGGTTTACCCAGGATATCCAGGGAAGGTCATCGGTTTATCCAGGATATCCAGGGAAGGTCATCGGTTTACCCAATATATCCAGGGAAGGCCATTGTTTCACCCAGGATATCCAGGGAAGGCCATTGTTTCACCCAGGATATCCAGTCTAAGCCTGTTTCGGAAGTTCCGCTCTGCGTGATGGCTATTATTATTCTTGACTACCTGGTCCAGTGCTTCTGTATTTTGTACTACCATTATAATGGTACTGCCAGAGAATATTGTACTGACACAATATTGCGTACTGCTGTTTTAACTTACAATGCAGCTATTTGGATTGATCTGTAAACCTAATTAATTTAATCATACAATTGTTAATTAATAGCATTTCGGTGGTTTTGTAGGTTTCACACTGAATTCTTTTGGGTGTACATATACTTGTTAATGTTCCGATTTTGAAGACTGAGTGACTGAGTTTAGTTTTACGCCGCTTTTAGCAATATTCCAGCAACATCACGGCGGGGGACACCAGAAATGGGTTTAACACATTTTACCCATGTGGGGATTCGAACCCGGGTCTTCAGCGTGACGAGCCAACGCTTTAACCACTAGGCTACCCCACCGCCCCCGATTTTGAAGTGGTCACCTAACAATATTAACTGTGTACAAACACAAATACAAGAAATCACTGTAAATTGTCTCTGCTTAGGATTAAGAGTGAGTGAGTGAGTTAAGTTTTACGCCGCACTTAGCAATATTCAAGCTATATGGCGTCGGTTTGTAAATAATCAAACCTAGACGCTTAGGATTAAGAGTAAAGACTGGTTTCTTCTTTTCGTGACCAGTGACCACATGCTGCTGCAGACAACAATATAAACCGTGGGGCTAAATATAGTATACACCACCGATGGCAGCTACGAATGATACAAAATAAAAGATGAATTCGATACTGGTATAACGGAAGATTTGACAAGGTCACGCCAATCAAACCCGTGAGGACCCGGGTTAGAATTGTTCTTTAGTAACCCATGCTTGACGTAAGAGGCGACTAACGGGATCGGGTTGTGAGATTCGCTGATCTGGTTCACCGCGATCGCGATCAATGCTCATGATGTTGACCACTGGATTGTCTGGTCCAGACTCGATTATTTACAGATAGACGTCATATGGCTGGAATATTGCTGAGAGTGTGGTGTAAAACTTAACTCACTCACTCACACGAATCAGCATCTAACAAACAGATCAGCCTAGTAACGTTTTGATAACGATCCCAATTTCTGGGTTCAATATATTGTTCAAGAGAATACCTTCTTAAACGGTTGGTTCACGGACGATACAGGCTAAACCTGTGGATCAGGAAATGGCACAGGTGCTTCGAATTTCCGACGTTTGAATCCACACTTTGATCTGGCGCCATATGAAAGATAAAATACAGATGTTGCTGATAGTGTCATTGTTTCCATGTAAATATGGTTTATATTCACTGATGGCTTGGTGAGATAGACTGAGTTGTGGCCTTCAGCGTTTTGTACAATATTAACGTAACACTTACATCAAACTAGCCGCCATCTGAGATCTCACACGGTGGCACACAACTGTGCAAAACTGTTACCCTCGCCCCATTGGCTGCATGGTTAGTATACTCCCAAGGGCGCTGAGTTTAGAACAAGTACGCAAGATTTACCGTGTTATAATAATATAGCGTTATAATATTTCATTTGTGAAAATAAATTGGCGATTCATTAATTATAGCAATGGAACTACCCGCGTGTATTACACACTTACTCGGGTCTTTCAGAGACATTTTGAATGCCATAAAACATGAAGACGCATTACGAAAAAATATCTTTATTGTCACGGCTACTTCATGCAAATACATCAGATACACTCTTCAAAAAAAGAAGCGCATAAGCCTTTATTAGAAGAATGTCTTGCGTGAGTATAAGGGGAATAAAAAAGGTGAAAATTCACACGTATATAGACAAAGAGTTCGCCAACACAACAGCAGTTTTTATTGTTCTGTTTATGTTGACTCGAGTCTACAACATGGCGTCAAAGTCAATACTTTGCATGGTTACCACTGGTAGCAATTATTGCTCGGCACCGTCTCGGCACAGACTGGATAAGGCGACGAAGTCGCTCTTGCGGAATTCTTCCCCACTCTTGCTGCAATGCGATGGCCAGTTGTGGGAGCGTCTGAGGCGTGTTTTGACGTTGACGTACACGTCTATCGGGTTTAGATCTGGAGGTCGGGAAGGCCATGACAAGACATTGACGTTAGAACTGGCAAGGTAGCTGACCGTGCTGTATGTGAAGTAGCTTTGTCATGCTGGTACAACTCCCTCTGGCAGTCCATACTCGGAAGCATGTGACGGGCAAGGACTTTGTTGATGTACCGATTTGCTGTCAAATTCCCCCTGAACCACCACTAAATCAGATATTTGTGTGCTGGGTATCGCACCCCACACCATGACACTGTCTCCACCGAATCTGTCGACCTGTCGAAAGCAATTAGGGGCTAAACGTTCATTTCTCCGACGGTAAACACGCTGTCTTTCATCACGCCCGTGAAGAAGAAATCGTGATTCATCAATGAACCAGACTTACCATCTAGTTTATAAGGTTCCAGTTTCGGGACTCTACAACACCACCGTATGCGATTGCGCCGATGGAAGTCTCTTAAAACAGGGGCGACAAACGGCCTTCTTGGTCGAATCCCTACGATTCCTGACAGGCATGCGCTGTGCACTGCTATAGCACGACGATGATGCAAGTGAGCAGCCCGGATGTAGCGGAGCTGGGCTTGGGTGGTAACACTTGGACGGCCACATCTCGGGCGAAATTGGTCTGCAGGAAACGATCCCAAAGGCGAGATATGGTGCTTTGATGTCGGCAACTGCTGACTGCGACTCCCCAGCTTCAAGGCGGCCTATAGCAGTGTTTCGATTGGCGACACTCAGTCGTGGCATGATGATTTCTCTTTTCCAGGCAAAAACGAATGACAAAACTAAACACAACGTTTGTCTTTTATAGTAATCGATACCAGATGCTTTACCGTTTTCTTGCACGTGCATTGTGCTTTGTGTGCTGTCTTGGTGAATATTTGGCGAATATTTCTTCAAACGCTTCTAAAACATGGGGAAAAGTTACAATTGCCGCGTTTTGGCGCTGAAGCTGTTTACAATCACACAAAGATGGCGTTTTGGAAAGAAATAGTATATTTGTATTGTTTTGCCGCAGAGTCCAATATTCTCAAAATCATCTATGCATTTCTTTTTTTTTTTTGAAGAGGGAAAATTGTTAATAACGCTTTTTTCCAGGTTGCTGATTTTGTTGTTATTGTTTGTTGTTAAACGTTAAAGTCAGCAATATTCTAGCCATATGGCGGCGGTCTGTAAATAATCTAGGCTGGACCAGACAACCAAGTGATCAACTGCATGAGCAACGATCTGCACAATTTGGATTTGATGACATGTGTCAACCAAGTCAGTTCTCTTGAATCAATTATGTATTTCATAATTAGACGTATTAAAAGGCTTATAGAATTAGTTTACAAATAATCCATTATCTCGTGTAGTTTATTCTCTAAAACGTCGCCAACAGTATGCACGACGAATCCTACAGGCTTCTGCCACAGTGCTTATCACATATCATTTTTCAGGTTCGCCATGAAAGTGCTTTGTTGTCCTATTTGCTGTTGTGGCCTCTGCTTTCGCAGCTAGGTGAGTGTTGACATTTTGAGCTCCATCCATGAAGTCACATTAACGATATTAACGCTCAAGATTAGATAAATAATTCCACCTCAATTGATATAAAATATATTCCACCTCTGGATCATAATGAAATCACATCACGGTCACGTCTTATTTATACAATTTGTGTATAACCTTCCGACATTTGCAATTTGAGCGGTTCTCAATTCTGTGTCATATGAAGCAAATGTAACGTCGTATTGTTTCATGTTCTGAGAATACTATATGACGTCATCATTATTCATGATTACGTCATCTGGGTGGATTTTACGAAATAACTTACTAAGACTGTCGTAAGTCTATGTTCAGGTATGGAAGTTAGGATCATCGGATGGTGCCGATTTGGAGATTTTACGAGCGCTTTCAGACATAATGCGTTTTTCGAACACTTAATTCATCACACTGAAGACACATATGGGTACATTGTGTGAAATCCATTTCTGGAGGTCACTGGAATATCGCTCAAATAGCCGTAAAACCATACTCACACACCACCATCAACTGTAAAGCGCTGACTGCGGCATTAAGCAGCATTCAACCCAGCTTCGTGTTAAGAATATCACAGAGAATTACGTTGTTTCCAGCGATGCCACTAGCGATGCTGTTGCCAAGTTCAAGGCCACCATCAAAGCCCAAGTCGAAACACTCTTCCTTAGTGCCGACACAAATAAGGATGGGCAATTCGACAAGGCAGACATGGTCTCACTCTTCATCGACTACGATCCCAACGGTAAGACTACACCACTTGATCTGATTATCCTTCAATTCCTTTGTCTCTACACTAAACCCGACATAAACTGAGAGAAACAAATAAAGGAACACAAGAAACTTCAAGTTTCAAGTTAATACTTTCCAGTTTCATCACCAGCTTTGAATAGCCCTGGGAAGGAAATTGAGAATAAATAAAGGAACACTGTCATGAAGTGGCGTTCCTTATTTGATCCCTCAGTATATTAACTTTGTATGGGTTCGCAAACATATTGGACAATGACAGTCTCTGGTTACTCATGCACCTAAGGTGCACTGCAGAGCTGCGTTCCTCAAATATGCCATGAATCTGTTGAACCTCGTTCAGGGTTTGCTGGCGCTGTTACGAAAGCCTATTGCTTCCAGGGCCTCCTTTCACAAAGCACTAAAATGATCGTAAGTCACTAAGGTAACCTTAGTGCAGTGTTAAAGAATGGGAGTTAAGGTCAACCTTGTAAAGGTTGCTTCAGTGTCCCTGGTAACATAAATCATGGCTCCGACCCTGAGGATAATGGACCCCAATTGCTTGTTGTTAAAGGACACTGAGGTGATTGGGTGGACCCTCTCGATGACTTGCTGTCATCGTATCAGAATGCTCATGATGTACTCTTGATGTGCTCTT